GAGGGGGAGGAAGGGGAGGAGGAAGAGGGGGAGGAAGGGGAGGAGGAAGAGGGGGAGGAAGAGGGGAGGAAGAGAGGGAGAGGAAGAGGGGGAGGGACTAATAACCTTAGCATTTGACGCGCCCTGAAACACTAATCAATCAATCAACCAATCCTCGCCAGTACTTACCTGTCGGTCTCGTACCGTCTACCCTCTGCAGTTCGCGTCTCACAAACCTCGTCTGCTCCTATTGTCCTTGCTTCTATGTTCGATATTTGCAATCATACACGAGGCCTCTTCCACGAATGGGTAGTGTCCCGTCTGATTCTTTAAGTCAGTAAATCTGGTTACGAGTTTATTTTATGTATTTGCGGGAATCGTTTTTACTTTGTCGTATACTTAGTAAGGTACACTGATCGATAAGTAATGCTGTAAGTAAGTAATGCTGTAAGTAATTAATCCCTCAATTAATCGATGGTTTGAAAAGCTTTTTTTAAAAACGTCTGCATGTCCGTGAACAACACGAGGGCCATGCATAAGATTTTTACCAAAATGCATACCCTCTAATCGATCTTGACCGAGTCTAACACCTACGAATTTGAAATGAAATTGTCGAAATTACCTAAATTAATTAAATTAACGAAAACTGTAGAAGTGAAATCGTTTTTGGACCACTAGACTTCGTGAAAGCATGAAGGCATCTTCTCTCTTTTAAAATATTTATACATGATGGAGTGTACCGTTACATGTTTGAGGAAAGAAAATAAAGACATAAAAAAAGTTTAATCATTTAATTTGAGGTTTGGATCAACTCCCCGACGTGATACAATCATTTGCATATTATTATATGAATACATTGTCCAAAATAGGGGAGAGTACATGAAGCAATAATAAGAAAATATCACCAAGTATTTGAATATTACAAGAGCTGAAAAAAAGAAAACTGTAGTTAATAATGACATTATTGATTAAAATTGTTGTACGTAAGATTTAACATTTCACTGCGAAGGAGGCAAAATAAAATATGTATAAAGTAGAAAACATCGATTATTATAACAAGATTATTGTTAATTAAAGAAGCAACAAATTCGTAAGCTTTAAAGATATTCAAAATGACGTTGAGCTGAATTTGGTTAGCTCACTCGCGGAATGTTTTTATAAGTGTTATTATGCTTATATGCTTTAATTATTACTATATTTAAGAATATTTATTAGGTCTTAACCAGTCAGCTGAAAACGATTCCAATACCGAGAACTGATACCATTAAGAGCGAAAAAATTGTCTGTTGACGAAGACATTTTGTATTTGGTTTAGTTCTATATGTGCCTATCAATGTATCAAATATTTTAGCACTAAAACTTTTCTAAGGTCCTTAGTTTGTCTTTGAGGTAGGAACATCTAAATACAATATCGTTCTAGTAAATGTTTCGTTCGATTGCGTACATTAAAATTGAATTTAATATTGTAAGTTTATTTATTAGAATATTATACTTGTAAGTTTTGATTTCCTTTATTATTACTATTAGTTTTTTTACGTGGAATAATATTTAACACAAAATGGATAGTAATTTCACTTTAATGCTATTTGACTAGCACAGTGGTAAACCAAATCCACCTGCGTCAGGGTAGATGTAGCGAGCTATCCGCTAGCTGGCCTTGGCAAATTCCTGCATATGAACTGCCACGAAACTATTCAATGTAGAAGTTAAACTTACAAAAGTTACTATACGTCGTAGAAAAAGTACAGAATGAAACTCGATGTAATGAGTATCGTACTGAGCTCGTCCCTCGCTCATATCAAAATATCACTCTTGTATTGATATCCATCGTTACATCATGGTTGCATAATGTACTATTTCAATATTTTAGAGAAGAATTGGATATCAGGAAAAACACAGATATTTCAATGGTAGTAAAAAACAGCTGCAACATAGTCATGAAACAACGAGCACTTCATTTTGCACGGCGGTATGCTCTCCGGTCATCACTATTTTCGTAGAATCTCGGCTGTTCTCGGCTATGCATGGTGATACGCGTCATTACGACGTAGTATAGAAGAAATCGTGTATTGTGTTAGTGTGCGACCTGATTGAGTGCTTTTACTGGGAGAGTAAGTGCTTTTAGGTTTTACTTTTTTCGAGACTGCTTGCGCAGAATAGAGAAAGTATTAAACTGCTATGGGAAACAATTGGAAGTACAAAAGCTGAAAAATTAACGCAAATAAACTAGGGGAGCTACAGCAGCACATACTTTCTCGCATTATTAGAAACAGCTATGTAATATTGAAGTATTGCATTTTCTGCGCTACTAACACCTCAGTTATTACTTGAAAACAGCCAATTCAAACAAAGCGCCTAAGATGCATATTTGTGTTAATTTCGATAGCCAGGAGCAACAATCATTTTTTACTCTGACAAATACAACAAACAGGAATACATCTGACTGATGGTGTTCGCAGCAAATTACACAGAAGCGAGCATCGTAGGCTTTCACGGCCGGAGTCAATAAAAGAAAAACTTTGCGGGCTGGTAGGCCGCGGTCCAGTTGGGATTGAAGGACCAAGGTCTACCAGCCCGGAAAATTTATCTTCTTTTAAGGCAATATGTTTGTTAGATCGACCACGGTATCTCCAAAAGTACTTTAAATGAAAGTAAAATCACTGTTCTTCAAGAATGTAAAAGCAATTTGGCCCTTTTTTGAATGAAGATAGGCCTAATTTTTGAATAAAGAAGTTTAAATTAGTACAGACTCTTATGGAAAAACTTTCGCGAGCATAGTTTTCTTTAGATTATTGAAGAAGTTATAAGTTTAATGTACCTTTCACTTTCCCGTATACGTACGTATATACGGAGTAATATACGTAGTGTAGGGAAAGTTGTGTAAACCTGCGAAAAATCAATTTCGAGAATTCAACGGTAATACACGTTTTGGGGTCACCTGATATCGAAAAGCTTTTTTCCTAACCTGCGTCTGTGAACATCAGTAACATCTTAAACCATGCGTAGACGTTTACCAAATTAAAGAAACCCCTGTCCTTCTAGCTTGAGTTGAAGCTTTGCGATTTTGAAAAACTTTCTTTAACATTTGGGGTACTTTACACGATGCCCTCCGGACATTTTCAAAATTTTCTCAAAAACGGCTCCAAAATTTTTCTTGAAATTTCTTGTAAAAAATACAGTAAAATGCACCCATAAAGGTGGCATAGGCTTTTCATTGTTAAGGCTTTCATTGCTAACGAAAAAATTGACTTCTTAAATTTAAGAAGTCAATTTTTTCGGCGTCTTTCTACAACTACAAAATTGAAGATACAGATTTTGCCTCCAAATGAAATGTACGTAATTAGTTCTTTAATTTAAGGTCATCTACGTTTTTTGAACATTTTAATAGTATTCGCACACTATTGCGAGCAACATGTGCAATTACAAAACATTACAAAAAGATTTTCTCAAAAACGGCTTAAAATTTTATATTCAAACCTTAGGGATAAAGCTAAATGTACTCTACGAGATGACAAACGCCATTTTGATCTATTCTTTTGTTTTTTTTCTTCAAAAATTGCTAAAATTTAATGTTACTTTTCTTTAACGTCGTTAATATTTATATTAGTGGCAATTTGTTTATATTATTATATTTATGAGTACATGTGCTTTAAATAATGTAATATAAAGTTTCTCGAAAACTCAACAGTTTTCTGTAAAAACTAGCTCAAAATTCCGCATTTTTAGATACGCTTAAACGCCGTTTTCTCAAAAACGGTCAAATGTTTTCTTCAAATTTTTGGAACGGATAGTGTAATTGCACTATTTAATATCCTGTCAAGTTCATTTCAGGGTATTTTTTGTTTTTCAAAAAATTCACAAAAATATTTTTTTTTGAAGGATCTCTCACAGCGGTAAAATACACATTTCTAGCAATTTGTAAACAATATTGTACTTGTGAGTTAATGTGCTTCAAACGACTTCTAATAAAGTTTTTCAAAAACTCAAAACGTTTCTGTGAAAAAATTTTCAAATTTTGAATTTACACTAACGCTTAAACACCACTTTCTTAAAAAAGGCTCCAAATTTTTCACAGAAAATTGCCATTTAGGACGATATTTTACTGTTTTTTTATTATTCTTAAAATAATATTTCCGTTCTACTATAAAGAAACCGAAAAATTTAGAAAATTTCAAAAAATGTAGTTTGAGAGGCGACAAGAGCTATCTGGTATGTGGCAAGTTCGTATAGCCAGCCGAGACCAACGGTAATAGAAAACTAATGCGGAAAAGACTGCGCCATTCTGTAGCACCACTGGTTTACTTTCTAGCGTCTAAGAAGGAACTTCTTAATAAAGAAAGTTATGTTTATGCTGCGCGAAAAAACGGCGAATTTTCGGCAGAAAAACTCTTATTACAGGGCCCTGGTAACGAAAAAGTAGAAATATCCAGTTACTAAATTTAGAAACAAATGCTCTAAGTCGTAGTAAAACCAGAATCCATGTTTTACGGGTCCTTGATACCGGCAAATCCATTGACGGCAAAACGTCTGACTGTCCGTGAGTTCGTCCGTCTGTGAACAACGCTAGTGGCTAAACTGATCATCAGATTTTTTCCCGAAATTGATATTCTCAGGTCGATTTGACTAATGTCGCGGCCCCTTGAATTTGAGGCTAATATTTTTATTTAGGGGTTACTTTACATAAAGCCCCTAGAATATATTCAAAACTTTCAAAAAATGGCGCCATCGATTTTCATTACATTTTGTTTATGTAAAGTACTCCCCTAAATTTTAAAGCCTTTTTTTCAAAATCTCATAGCTTTGAGTCAGACCAAATGGACACGGGTTTCTTCAATTTGGAAAAAACCTACGCATAATTTAGGCGCTAGTGCTGTTCACATACACCAGATAGATGGACGGACAGACGGCGTTTTGAAAAAGCACTATTTCGGTATCAAGGGACCCCAAAACGTTTATTTCCGTTGAAATCTCGAAATAGATTTTCCGCAGCATTGCATAACTTTCCCTATACTACATATTTATTCCGTATATACGTATGTATACGCGAAAGTAAAAAAATACAATGAAATTGTGTAGATTGTGTGTTTTTTTATTTGTGTTAAATTTTCTATGTGAACAAATATATTAATTTATTTTGTAAATAATAAACAATTTACATTTCTCTGGAGAGTTTATATGTTTTTAAAATGCAAATTTTTGCCAAGAAGTATTTTTTTAAACCAAATTTTGAGTGTTCATTGCGGCTCAGCCATTCAGTATATCCAAGGAGTTTATTTAGACAAAATATGATTAAAATTGTCTTGAGAGCTTGTTTTCGAAATTTCGTGTTTTCCTCCTTGGATACCTTATATTAAAGGCGATGGTCTTTTATGTTCCAATCTAGAGAACGCTGTTTGTACTACCTTCATCGTGTAGACTATCCGTCGCCCGAGCTGATCTCGACGTGCTGATAATTTCTACGTCTGTCCTCGTCTTGTGCATATGGATCAACGCATGTCCATGGTTTTGCAATCCCTCTTCTCCCCGTACTTTTCTTTGCTAAAAGGGGGGTTCGCCCCTAAGGATGACCCTAGGCGCTCAAGCTTATTTTGCCCTCTGTTGTTATTATGTAACTTTATTTTCAGTTAAATGTTAATTATGAATTAATTTACACGCCTTTTTTTATACATTTTTTTACAATTTATACATTTACACATTAAAAACACTGTCAAATTAAATTTCGGCGTGCACGAATTTGATATTACAGTTTACTTAACTAGATTTAACACATATATGTATTAAGTAATCGATGGTTTTAGGTCGACGTGTTAATTTAATTTGATCGATCGTAAACATCGATGATAGTACCAAACATCGATATTATGTTATCTGATGCGAGCTTGATGATGGCAGACGGTTAAAAAAAGACTGTAGAGGAGAAGCAACCTATAAGGAATTGTTTATCTACATGTCTGCTGCATTACCTTCTTACTCTGCAAATAACTTTAACAGGATACTTGTAATTTGGCTTTTGTGATTATGTTTTTTTTATAAGGAATTTCATTTTCTATTTAACATTTAATTACGGCAAATCAAATTATTGCTGCACTCAAAAAATAAACTTACGTATTAAAATAAGAAGTATTACTCCAAAGATTACTGATCCTTTGTTGGAACCAACGATGTTCATCATCAATGCGATTCTGATATATAAGTAGAACATGGAGAATATGACATAGAATGGAATTGTTGCAAGCCAGATGAGAACCATTAAACGGTTGTCCTGTAAAAAAAAAAATAGAACGTGGATTAGTATTTATTTAATTCAGAAGGTTGAAGACTCTTCTCAACATGGAGCGCCCTTTATCGCCTATGGGTGATTGGCTGACACCGGGTTATGCCCATTTGCAGTTCAAATAAATTAATATTGTGTATCTTATCTTAAAATTTATATTATTAATTTCCAATGCGCGCAGAAATTGAAAGAAAACCGCGCAGCCTCTGGCCTTTTGAGTGGAGTCTATGGTTTCGTTAGGTACCTGCTCAGAAAAACACTAAATCATTGAAACACATTCGATTTCCGCTGAAAATTGTAAATGGTTGATTGTGCTATTACGCATATTCACAGACTACACGTGTTGATTGAATGATCATACTTAACGCTTCATTGCTTATGACACAGCTGACATCATGCGACAGCAAGGCTTCAAAGAAGAGGCTTCTCGCAATTAAATATTTGCTATTGACGTGTTGCTTTATGGAAAATAAACTTTTCTGTATTTTTTAATTGAAAAGAACTGTTGTACAGACTGTAAAGAACTATGTTAGTGCAGTATTCGTGAAGACCCTTTTTGTTACCATATTTCATTCATACAGAGGTGGCTGATCCTTAAAGGCTATAGGGCGCCGCCCTTCTCCAAAAAAACCACCCTCGGGAAAAGTTGCACAACGTATTAAACTTGAAATACGTCGACTCGTTTAATTCGTGCATAATACCAGCGCAATTTTTGAGGACAAATTTAGATTTGAGTGCCAGATTAAGCGAAAGATAAATGTTTTTATAATGGGTAGCATCTAGGACTATCGGGAGACCGTGCTGGTGCATGGGAGGCTTGAGGATGAGTTGGGGTAATTGGAGTTGGGTAGGGTCAGCGTGCTCCTCTTAGGGTTTTGTTTGGCGGCAGCCATTAACTAAGCTAAGAATACCGAATCTTTCATCTGATTTCATAAATTACTGTTTTGTTAGCTAGAATTTTTTTAAATATCTTATTTTCGCGTGAGCACAAGTGTATCTTCCGTTATCAACGTAAAAGTTGTCGTAGACGAGGGTTAAAATTCCGATTTTAATAAATTTCCGATGCAAATTGGTTGTACACGACATTCTATAGTAGTTTCCTCGTTCAAGAAATGTTTTGAAGAGATAAAATGTATGTGATAGTTCGGACACACATGTCGCCCCTCCTAATTCTCAATCCACCGGCGGCCACTGGTGTTATATGATAATATTTTTATTGTTGTTATTCAGTAGTGTGCTTGTTGCATTTTGGAAAAAACATTTTGTGGTTACGTTCAGTTGAAGCACTTCTGTCGCAGGTCGATAGTTTCTTATAAATCTCTTGGGCGCTCTGGATAGAGTCTTGAAAATATTTAATGATGTAAACTACTCGTACATCACGGAACATCACAAAATGTTTTTCTTAATTAGATGTCGAATCCCTAGAAACAGAGGAACCTTGGCCATGACAAACACTTTAGATCCAGCAGATCCCTCTTTAGATCCCAATTTCAAAGAAAACATATCATACAGTTGCTTGAAACACTTATAAGACCAGTTGTAACACATGAGGCTGAATGCATGACAGTATCTCATGCGGTTGGAGTAAAATTAGATACATTTGAAAGGAAGAGTTTATTGACTCATACAAGACAGAGGAATACGGAGAAGTGGATTGATTGTTGGCGATTCCGGGTGCGTCAACTACTAGGATAATTAGTCCCGTAAGTGTAGTTTTCCTCGGAAAGTGGCGATGATCTTCCCTCCACTGTATGGCGAGATCCTGCGCCGACCTACTGTCTGCTAGTGGTGTTTTCCCCAACCAGGTATCTCCCACCAGCTGGGCACCACCTCAGCCGGGTCAAGCTCTAAGCTTCCGACCGGTCTCCAATCATGTGTGGTAGTGTAGTGAATGTTAGTGCAGGTGTGTGTAAGTAAGGTGAGGTTAGGACAAGGGAGATGAAGGAAATATTGCGCGCGGTCCGTTGCCCCATTTGTTAGGGTGCTTTTTCGGCATTCCCTTGGTGTTGATCGGAGAAATAATGGAAAACTACAGATCAGAGAAACCGACTGCTAGAATTCTTTTCCAGCCAGCTCATGAATTCGACCTAGCTGACAAGCTAGTGTCGAAAATCCAGAAAATCCGGGGCTCGAACCTAAGAACTATCTCTCCGAGGCACTGCAATGGCATCAGTTGATGAGCTGAGCCACCTCTTCTGGTTGTTGAAGCAGATACAATCATAATTGAAAGGAATTGCAGGGATTATACGACGAACCAAGACTGACCTTGGTTATCCAAGTATCAAGGCTTAACTGGGCGGGATATATTATAAGGATGGAGGAAGAGAGAATACCCCGAAGGCTATTAATGGTACAGTCGAGTGAATGATAAATGCGTGAAAGCAGTGAATGGAGAAGGGTCGGACCCACGTCGTACGTCGAGCGGGTACTGGAACAAACGATGTGACCAAAGCGCGAGATGACCGCCCTCTTGTACGCGTGGCCGTTACCGACAGGACGGTGTCGTCCACAGAGTTTGTTCTACTTTATAGCACTACAATGGGTGTGGTCATGTCTGCATCGACGATTCGATGCGATGGTTGGCCTGATGGCGTGCATACCACTGCGTCGGATTCCGTTGGTCAGAAACAATTAACGCCTCAGGCAGAAATGGGAGCGGAAACGTGTTCGCAAGTGATAAAATGTAGTGTTTTCGGACGAGTGTCGTTTCTATTTGTGTTACAGCAATGGCCGCGTACGTGTTCGACGCTACCGTGGTGATCTCAATCAGTCAGCATGTTTTGTTCCGCGCAATAGCGACCAAACGCCAAGTGTAATGGTTTGGGGGCGCTATTGGCTACAATGGGCGATCTGGCGTCATACGTATTGATTGCAACATCAGAACCGCAACCACTACACCAGGCAGGTTGTAGAGTCCGTCCTGTAAGCAGCTCCACTCGCCATAATTCAGCAAGAAAATGCAGGACAGCATGTGGCGAGGAATGTGGCAAGTTTTCTGCGGAGCAAGTTTTCTGCGGAGCAAGTTTTCTGCGAAGCAAGTTTTCTGCGGAGCAAGTTTTCTGCGATGGGTACCACAGCTTCCCTGGCCTGCACGTCACTTGACATGTCGCTCGTCAAACATGTCGGGGATATGATCGGTCGACAACTTGTTCTTTGTGGTCCTCCTAAGCCATTGTCGATGCTTTGTGGTCACGCATAGAATCTGCGTGGAGGTGTGTTCCCCAGCTGCATATGCAGGCTCTCTTTGAATCCATGGGGTCACGACACCTAGGGGCTATGAAGGAAGCGTGTGGCGGATACACGCCGTACTAAATAATCAAGGTGACACTCAGGTGCAGTTCTGTAATTCTAATCGTTTGTATATTGTGATATTCCTAATCTGTGGAATAAATTTTATTGTAATAGTACATGTCTTTCTTGGTATTGCAATTTTCACAAAGACCTGTGTAGAAATGGCTTCATGTATGTGTTTTTGTGGCCCTCGCTCCACAAAACAATTTTAAGCCTGTAAGATGTTGCGTATACAATGATTTCAGACGTTTCTTTTTTTATTACAAATTGTGTGTAACGTAAAAAGTTTACTCACGATTATAATACCACACACCAATATCATTAATAATATGTAATATATTACACAGACGATCACGTTGCTGAGGTCCAGTCGTCTGTAAACTGAAACAAAAAGCGATTACTTCATGTAACAAATCTTTGTGTTGTGTTAACTTTTTGTTATTTTTAAGGTCGGATCAACTACTAGGTCATTAGCGACCATTATTGGGTGAACGGTATGGTAACTAGGATAACACGATATGATGATGATAGGGGGTGAAAAGACGAACACAATACAACCATGCCCGAGGCGGAACTCGAACCCTCGATCCTGCGGGTTCCTGCGAACCCGCGATCCTCGAGGTCGTACGTCACTACTGCCTTAGTGATCTCAGCCATCCAGACCGGCTGTATTATCTTTGAATTTTCAAAAATTGCCGAAATTTGAAATTTTGACGACCCCTTAGAACAACAACATTATTGAAGATGTTGAATAATTTTTCAAATAAAATTTGTTCTCAATTACATCTTTAATTGAAATCGAGGACTTTTTTGAAAATATTTAGATTCCACGCAATTTTCAGTGAAATAAGAACAGTTCTAGAAACAAGATTTTTCACAAAACCGGCTCCAAACCTTTGTTTTTCAATTTTTTGTACGAATAGTGGGGAATGCACTGAAGGATATGAGAAAATAAACTCATTCAGTTTTTTTCTTCAAAAAATATAGTGTCCGTACTTTTCGGTATACGTACGTATGTACGAAGTAATATACGCAGTATAGGGAAAGTTATGTAATGCTGCGGAAAATCGATATCGAGATTTCGACGGAAATACACTTTTGAGGTCCCCTGATACCGAAAAAGTGTTTTTAAAGCTTCCGTCTGTCCGTCTGGTGTCTGTGAACACTACCAGCACCTAAACCATGAGTATGATTTTACAAATTGAAGAAACCAATGTCGATCTGGCTGGAGTCGAATTTTTGAGATTTTGAAAACAGTCTTAAAAATTGTGGGTATGTCACATGAAGCCCCTGGACAGTTTCAACATTTTCTCAAAAACGGCTCCAATTTTTTCTTTAAATTTTGTTGTAGGAGTAACATAGACTTATAAAGGTGGCATTGGTCCCATTTTTAGGTTAACTCTGAATTTTCGAACATTTCAAAAGCATCATTTTTTGTCCGTCTTCCTACAACTAGAAAGTTGAAGATAGAGATTTTTCCTTCAAACGGAATGTTGCCCGTAATTAGTTATTTCATTAAGGTAAAGTACATTTTTTTGTAATTTTTAATAGTTTTCGAGCAATATTGCATAATGGGCAATTTTAAAACATTACAAAATCAAGATTTTCTCAAAAATGGCTCCAATTTTTTTTTAAACTCTTGGTAGGAATAGTGGTAAGTGTACTCTATAAGATGAATAAAACAACATATTGCTCCATTCTTTGGCTTTTTCAAAAATTACAAAAATGTACTTTTTTACTTTCTCATGTTGTTAATATTTATACTAGCGGCAATTTGTTCACATTATGACCATGTTTGTGATCCATAAATCAATACAGGTAAGATGCACACGTCAATTAATACATTTTTGATTTTGAGGTTTATCTTTTTATGTAGTAGTATGAAGGAGAGGCTCCAAAATTTTCTCCATGCTAATTTAATCCATGCTTCTCCTAGTTTCCTTATCTACTCTACTTGTAAAAGATACTAGCTTGACCAGGAATCCCATTTGTAGATATAGTAACCTTGATACAACAATACTAGTATACAAAAAGCACTAGACCGCGGTAGGAAAAGTACTGCGGAGAAAGTCTAATAAAAAAATTAGATTTTAGAATTTTCTCCCACCAGAAATGACAAGTCTGTGCAGAGGACGCTTTGTTCCTTTCAGCCCTAACAATACTTACATATTTTAGCTCCTCTGGGGAACTCGCTTTCAATGGAGCTCAGTAATGCGTAGTAAAATTGCGCAGCGAGACGCTTGGCCCTTTCTGCTCTTTTAACACACCCCAGTGTCATGGTGTTATGGTTATACGCTCGAGGACGTCGAACAGCGGCAATCTCGGAGCTCCACGTGGCATCTGCCGCAACCATATTGTTTATTTTCGTTCAATAAGCAAATATTACACACATGAATTTTATAAGCTGATACCATTTGGCTCGGCCGACTGGAATAAACTTTTACAATACCTACATCCTTCCATCAAAACTTTGAAATTTTGTGTTTACCCGAGACGGTCTGGTGTCTCCATCGAATTCAAACCACGGAAAAAGAGGGCGTGTGGTATGGCTAAAAGACACGAATGGTGCTAAGAAAGCACACATTTTCTCGCATTGTTGCTATCTACTCCGCCGTACACCTAAGTTCTTCCGACGAAAACGAGTTAATAACTATTTTATT